TGAACGGAAATGAGAATTGTTGATAGCACAAGGATCATTATGTAGGATTTTAAGAGTAAGTCGTTCAAAATTAATGTTCTATTTGGAAAACAATATATAGAATACTTACTCACAAAAAAATCGAAAATCATTACCAAAAAAAAAAAATTATAGGAAAATATTTTTCTAATTCTTTGTCCACTTTAGAAAAAAAAAACCAATTTTTCAATATTTTAAGGATAGAAAAACATTTTTACAATTTTCTTTTTTTTTCAACCATATCCATATTATCGAAACTTATTTTTTTATAATATCTAAAAAAGTAAGGAAAAAAAAATTTTTTTTTCCATATATTTATGTAAGAGGAAAAAAAAATCATTTTAGAACACAAATGCCACTCGAGGAAAATCAGAAAATTTCTGATTTTCTTTTACTTGTATATAGAGCATTGTGCTTGAAAGCTTGCACTTCCTTTCTTTCGTGAATCCTGACACTCATGGCAAATGGAATTTCACTCTTGTCCCTTTCTGGAGCTCCAGATGCCATTGTTCATCTGAGCCCATCTCTTTTTTCCCTTACCCCCCCCCGCCCCCTCCCCTTCTTTCCCCTTAGTCCTAGGACATCTTCATTGTTTTCTTCTATCATTTGACAAATTCTTATTTTTTTCGTCCCTTTGCCATTTTTATTTAATAGAAAAAAAGAAATTTTTCCCTCTTTTTGAAATGTAAATTCAATCAATAGATTATGTAATAAATTATATCATGAAAATTAAATATGTAATTATTTAGGTGTATTTAAATATAGGAATATACGTAATATGAAAGGGAAAACAAATATAACATGTTGGAGAAAAAGAGAAAGTAGTATTTTTTTCAAGGTGCTTATTAAATACTTTTTCTTCTAACATTCCCACTTGACGCGACGAACCAATCAGCGAGCGCTCCGTCTACCACTAGGTCTCTCCCCACTCCTTTTTAAAGACTCTATATAAGTGGCTTCGCCGGCTTCTTTCCTCATTCCACAACGAGTTGTCAGACGACTCGGATGAGAATTATGTTTCTAAACAGTTATTATGTCGCACTTGTAAAAAGAAGTTTGGTATCTATACAAATTGCGAGTAATTGACACATCCAACACGGTATGCCTTAACCAGACTCAACCCAAAAGTCCTTGCTCAGAAATTTTTTTTTCCGTTTTTTGAGAACGGTTCCTTTAAATATTTTTAAAAGCAAAATTTATTTATTAAATAAAAAGTCGCGTTTGACTATACAATAAGAACTTTTTTTTGAATATTTTTTTAAATAAAAGAACACTGTAATAGAAACTCCAGCTCACTTTCCAAGACAACATTAAAATTGAAGAATCTTTTACAGTCCGTGAATAGAATTGTGGATATATGATGATATCTTTATTGAAACACGTCTTTGCTTTGGAAATGGTTCTCGTTTTTCATTTGTCGAAGTGTATATATATATGGCAAAACTCGATTGGAAAACGTCGACCTTCGTGCAATGTTACGTGTACTTGGGAGACATCACGGCGCCTATTGGCTTATCCCTCTCGAAATGTCCTATACTACCATTGCATGAGGTGGCAGAAGGGTCGTTGTGTCGAGTTCAACAACCTCTACTCTTGCACGTAGGTAGTTACCTGTCACTAGTTAATTCGTGAATGAGGTAACGGTTTACTGTCAGTCCGCCAGACCATTCCTATTCATTATTTAGAAAATCGATCCCCAACTCACTTCTATTTTTCCTAACCCCCTTTTCCAGATATACACTACAGTAATAGGAATGTCGAACTTGGAACAATTCAAGATTAATGTTTCATTTGTTTTTTCGTAATTTCAAAAGATTTTGTTTATTTTTCCTATTTAGTTGCAAAAATTCTATATAATAAATTAAAAATACCTACACATTAATGTTCCGAATTCTCATCTTAATAATAGTGTTATATCCTACAATATTTTAATTATTTGTTTTCCTTTATTTCTTTTTATCTATTTACTTTTTTTATGTAAAATGTGAGAAGAACATTTTGTTTTTCTTCTTGCATCTAGTCTTTATCATTTTCTTGATAAAGACTTATAATATACAAAAAGTCATGAGAAAATCAAATAAAGTTAACAAGATGTTTTTTTCAAATTTTACATATGTCCAAAAATCAACAATAGTTGCCTACTTTTGATAAGTCATATTTTAAAAAGGTTTCAATCTCCCGACCCTTGTACTAATAGATAAAACAACTAAGAGGGATAAATATACATTTATTAGTTATCAATAAATAAATAGGTATTCAATAATAATAAAATAAGAAATGCGAAATATAAAATTTTACTTTTACCATAATTTATAATAATTAGTTTTATTAAATAAAAAATTGTTTTAAACAAATTATAATTAAAAAATTGTTCTAGAAATTGTTAAAATTAAAATCTTTCCTTTTCTTTAATATATTCCTTTTTTTAAATTTGAGTCCCCAAAAATGGGCCTGATAACATTATCGTTATCTAAAAAGTGGAGTGGGAATCATTTCCTTTAAAAACCAAGGGAAATCCCATTAGAAGTCAGTTAAAAAATTCTTCAGTTCAGTTCAAACTTTTTAGTTTAACTTTTTATTCTAAAATAATCAAGTACAAAAAAATTCATATCTAAAAAAAACACAAGTAAAAAATTGAATATTCTTCAAAAAAGTATCCAGTATTATCATTGCTACAAAATCTTAATTTTAAAGAATTTTATTTATAAAATATTTTCAAATTAATAAAAAAGAATATATTCAAGGAAAGGAAAAGCTGATATTCAACATCACACTGTAAAACAACAATCAATAAAAAAAAGTAAGTGAAATAATAATAAAATTTATTTGATTATCATTTCTTTTCTATTTCTATTTCTTTTCCCTGATAGTATTGGTACAATTAAAGTTGGACCCATACTGTCAACATCACATTTAGGATAGGACCTTTTCCAAAAATTTCGCCGATTCAATTTTAGTTGTATCGACAAAATTCAATCCTTATAATTCTAATTTCCTTATTTTTCTAAAAGAAGATTCAAATTCAAAACTATTCCCAAGTTAGAGGACAATGCGTTTCTGACTTAAAACAATTAATTTAAATTCTTTGCTTTGTGCATCTTAGGATGTAACAATAGTTTTGATTTCATAAAAAAAATTGGACATTTTAACAATACCGAATGATTTTGTTTTAATGTCTCTTGATGTCTGTTCATTGTTTACCAAAGTACCTCTGGGCTTGGTTGTTGATGATTTTTGAGAAATTTTTCGTTTGAAAAATTGGGAATTGCTGCACCTAAGTTTTTTCAGTGCTGTAATATTTCAAATTATCATGAAGTATCCTAAAATAGTTTGTAGTATTCTGATTTATCTTCAATTACCTTAAAGTATTCTGAATTATCTGGAAGTATTTTGAATTTATCTTGAAGCATTCTGAATTATCTCGAAGAATTCTTGATTATCTTGAAGCATCCTAAATTATCTTGAAGCATCCTAAATTATCTGGAAGTATTTATAATTATCTTAAAATATTCTGCATTGTTTCCTTGAATGTAGTCGTATAATAATTTTTTACTCGATTTTTATACGACTAACGTTTGAATAGTAAAATTTGCAAGATATTATAGATAAGAGAAATTGATTATTCGTGTAATCGTAAACGTGCTCTCGATGTATATGGGAAATGTCGCGTTATCGAGCTAACCTGGCCAATAGCCGATACCTTCAACGAATCTTATGGGGCTTAGCTAGTCGACCTATCGGACGTGCTATTTTCATGAGAACCCTCGAGGCTCCTGGAACCAGTTCCCAAAGCCTCTCTCTTACTCAATGCGATAACATTACAATCAAAATGCAGAATTTCGCTATATAGGATTCAGAGAGAGAGAGAGAGAGAGAACTCTTGTCAGGTTAGATGGCTAAACGTGATCGTCGAGCATGACAATCTTCTCGATCCTAATTATACTTGCCAAATCATTCACATGAATAACTTTATCCACTTCCTCTGTTCAATCGATTCCAAACAGATATTCGGGGAGGGGGACTTATTGATTCCTCCACATTACCTCCTTCTATATACTTTCGGATTACATCGCCTCCGTTACTAATGCTCTTAATGCTGATTTACTATTCTCTCACAAAATCTGTTTGCATTCTTTTCCATGTTTGTGAATTTGAATTTGTTTTTTTGTTCTTTTTTCAATTTTCCCACCTTTCAGAGAGAAAACATACAAAATTAGGTATTTGAAATTTTGAACTGAATATAGATGATACAAAATCATGATTCGAAATTTTTAACACATTCTACATTTAAAAATCGTACAGAAAATATACAAAATCCGGTAATAGAGTCATTTGGGGTAAATAGAAACAAGGGGTAAATCAAAACAGTAGTTATTTCAATTAAATAAAAAATTTTTAAAATAAATAAAGCCTCAAACCTTGTTGGGGATGATCTAAGGTTCAAGGTTTGAGGCCGTATTTATTTTAAAAATTTTTTATTTAACTGAAATAACTACTTTTTCTATTTACCCCAACTGAACCTAATACATTTTAACAGAATTTATATGAATAAATACAAAAATTATGATTTCCAAATTTCTAATAGATTCTACATTAACAGGATTAATACTGGATTGTTTGTTCAACTTCAAATTCTGGTATTTTATAAAAGGAATATAATCATTTATTTTGGAAAATACCGCATCCTACTCATTAAAGTGTTTTCGTTATTGTTTTTGTTATTGTTTAACATTTTTTGTTATTTTAATAAATTTTAGCACTTTAGTACAGGAAAAAATATATGTACGACATCTTTAACTTAATTTTCGAAAACTGTACGGGTTTCTTCATCAGAATTTTATTAATCTACGATAATTAATAAATATTCTAATTTTTTATAGTTTGTTGTAGATTTTGTTTTTAATAATCTATATTATTTATTTATATTTGTGCAAAAAAAAATTAAATAAAAACTACAAATAACTATAATTAAAAGATGGTGAAATTTTTTTGGCCTATTGGCTTTTTAATAATTATCAATATATATAAAATTTCACATGACGCGTTTCGACACGATTTCGTGTCCTCATCAGATATAAATCTGTAAAAATGGATCATATAATATTATTTTAACTAATTGTATGTATACGACGTTAGTATAAATAATGAATATAAATTCAATTAACATACCATGCGAAAATTAATTATAAATTTGTTTCTTGAAGATTTTTCTGACATGTTATCTTTCGTAGAAAGAATTTCAATAACTGTTTTGACATGACGACAATTTCATAAATATATTAGTTAGTAAATAAAGTTTTTAAATGTTTTTGTATAAAAAATGATGTAGTCTGTAAAGAAATTAAGAATCATCTATCATTTATGATAATTTAAGGTTAATAACATTAAAGTATTTTGTTTTTATCTTATTACCTTGTTTTCATCATATAAATAGTTAAAAGATTTTAAAGAAATATTTAAATAATAACATTTTATAATATTTTTAATTTAATATAAAATTTTTTTTGAAACATTTAATTAATAAATAAGTTAATAAAATATATACTTGAACACATGATTATTTTCATCACGTGTTCAAAAGTGAGGTTATAAATTCTGTCAATTTAAAGGTGACTTCATAAGGAAGAGATATAAAAGGCCAAAGTTGATATATGAAAGGATTCTAAGGTTGTATTGTGAAAAGAAATATTTAAGAATATTGATATTTAAAAGTGATCGTTAATAAGTTGTAAATAAATGACGCTAAGTTTTTCAACATCAGTTTTTAAATTGATTGAATTTCTTTCATTTAAAATGTAAAACATTTCCAATATTAGGCGTTTTCTTAAGTTTTTTTCGCAGTGTAAAATTTTAACATCTTTTGCTGAAAAATTAAAATGATGTTTTTCTTCTGTTGCATGTTTGCATAAGGCTGTTGATGTAGATTTAATAGCTTCTTGGTATTTGTGTTCAGATACTCTAGTTTTCAAATGTCTTGAGGTGTGTCCTATATAGTATGATTCACAATCTTTGCATTTGATTTTGTAAACTAGATTAATTTTTTCGAAATTTGGAAATTGATCTTTAGGTAATTTTAATAAGTTATTTTCAAATTTATTAATTGATTTGAAAACAACCTTAACATCAAATTTTTTAAAAATTCTGATAAAAGTGTGTGAAAGTTTATTTATATAAGGTAGAGATACTACTCTAGAGAAGTCTAAGTTATTTTGTGATGTATTCGTATTTTGAGTCAAATTGGTTTTTTCATAGCTTTCGATTCTTTTGTTAATATATTTATTCAAGAAATTGGTAGGATATCCATTTTCTATCAATGCGTTAAAGACAATATTTGTGTCCTGACGCGGTGAAAGGGACCTTATGGTATAATAGCAAATTGTACTTTTGAATGTTCATAATAAAAAACGAATTGAACAAAATAATTTCTAGTTTTTGGAAATGAAAGAGCAACACAAATAATTTGATTTCCAAAAATTAGAAATTATTTTGTTCAATTCATTTTTTATTATGAACATTTAAAGTACAATTTGCAATTGGACCATAAGGTCCCTTTCACCGCGTCAGGACACATTTATGTTTTCAAGATGGTATTTAGGATGAGAAAGTTTAATAGCTCTATCTATTAGAGAATAAAGAATACCAATTTTTGTGTTAATGTTGTGATTTGATTGATAATTTAGATAATTTCCTGACCATGTACTTTTTCGATACCAATTTGTTTCAATATTATTGTTGTTAAAATCCAAAGACACATCAAGATAGTTTATTTTTTTGTCTTGTGCAAGTTCCATTGTAAATTTCAAATGGTTATCTTTAGAATTGAATTTTTCAAGAAAATGTTTAAGTTTATTATTAGGTAAACAACAAAGAGTATCATCAACGAATCTGTAATAAAAAATAATGTTGTAATTTATTTCATCAAAAATTTGTTTTTCGTAATATTGCATAATAATTTCTGAAATTACTGGAGAAATCGGACTACCCATAGGTGTACCGAATTTTTGCCTGTAAATTTGATCTTGGAACTTGCAAAAGGCATTATCCAAACATAATTTTAATCCCTTGATAAATTCACAACAAGGGAGTTTAGTGTGTTTTTTATATCGAGACCAATTTGATTTAATTATATCACAGACTAACTCACAATCAATGTTTGTGAACATTGAAATTGCATCGAGTGAAACTATGGTATAATCCTCTGGAATATAAACATCAGAAATATTTTTAATAAATTGCCAACTATCCTTTAATGTGTTTTTAGATTTTGAAGTTTCTTTATATAAAATTTGCTGGTAAAAAACTGATAAATTATAAAGTGGAGAATTTATAAAAGAGGTTACAGGTCTCAAAGGGTTCCCATCCTTATGTATCTTTGGTAAACCATAGAATAAAGGTGGTAAACCATTGTGACATTTCAATGAAGAAGCCAAAGTATCAGAAATAAAATCTCTCAAAACCCATTCATTAATTAGTGAGTTTAATTTTTCTTGAATGCTGTTAATAGGGTTTCTAATTTTTTCGTATACATTAGGATCATTAAGCATATTATTTACTTTATTGATGTAATCAATTTTGTGTTGAACGACTATTGATTTTCCTTTATCTGCTTTAGTTATTATAAGGTTTGGGTATATAATATATAATATAATATAATATAATATAATATAATATATAATATAATAAAGTAAATAATATGCTTAATGATCCTAATGTATACGAAAAAATTAGAAACCCTATTAACAGCATTCAAGAAAAATTAAACTCACTAATTAATGAATGGGTTTTGAGAGATTTTATTTCTGATACTTTGGCTTCTTCATTGAAATGTCACAATGGTTTACCACCTTTATTCTATGGTTTACCAAAGATACATAAGGATGGGAACCCTTTGAGACCTGTAACCTCTTTTATAAATTCTCCACTTTATAATTTATCAGTTTTTTACCAGCAAATTTTATATAAAGAAACTTCAAAATCTAAAAACACATTAAAGGATAGTTGGCAATTTATTAAAAATATTTCTGATGTTTATATTCCAGAGGATTATACCATAGTTTCACTCGATGCAATTTCAATGTTCACAAACATTGATTGTGAGTTAGTCTGTGATATAATTAAATCAAATTGGTCTCGATATAAAAAACACACTAAACTCCCTTGTTGTGAATTTATCAAGGGATTAAAATTATGTTTGGATAATGCCTTTTGCAAGTTCCAAGATCAAATTTACAGGCAAAAATTCGGTACACCTATGGGTAGTCCGATTTCTCCAGTAATTTCAGAAATTATTATGCAATATTACGAAAAACAAATTTTTGATGAAATAAATTACAACATTATTTTTTATTACAGATTCGTTGATGATACTCTTTGTTGTTTACCTAATAATAAACTTAAACATTTTCTTGAAAAATTCAATTCTAAAGATAACCATTTGAAATTTACAATGGAACTTGCACAAGACAAAAAAATAAACTATCTTGATGTGTCTTTGGATTTTAACAACAATAATATTGAAACAAATTGGTATCGAAAAAGTACATGGTCAGGAAATTATCTAAATTATCAATCAAATCACAACATTAACACAAAAATTGGTATTCTTTATTCTCTAATAGATAGAGCTATTAAACTTTCTCATCCTAAATACCATCTTGAAAACATAAATGTGTCCTGACGCGGTGAAAGGGACCTTATGGTCCAATTGCAAATTGTACTTTAAATGTTCATAATAAAAAATGAATTGAACAAAATAATTTCTAATTTTTGGAAATCAAATTATTTGTGTTGCTCTTTCATTTCCAAAAACTAGAAATTATTTTGTTCAATTCGTTTTTTATTATGAACATTCAAAAGTACAATTTGCTATTATACCATAAGGTCCCTTTCACCGCGTCAGGACACAAATATTGTCTTTAACGCATTGATAGAAAATGGATATCCTACCAATTTCTTGAATAAATATATTAACAAAAGAATCGAAAGCTATGAAAAAACCAATTTGACTCAAAATACGAATACATCACAAAATAACTTAGACTTCTCTAGAGTAGTATCTCTACCTTATATAAATAAACTTTCACACACTTTTATCAGAATTTTTAAAAAATTTGATGTTAAGGTTGTTTTCAAATCAATTAATAAATTTGAAAATAACTTATTAAAATTACCTAAAGATCAATTTCCAAATTTCGAAAAAATTAATCTAGTTTACAAAATCAAATGCAAAGATTGTGAATCATACTATATAGGACACACCTCAAGACATTTGAAAACTAGAGTATCTGAACACAAATACCAAGAAGCTATTAAATCTACATCAACAGCCTTATGCAAACATGCAACAGAAGAAAAACATCATTTTAATTTTTCAGCAAAAGATGTTAAAATTTTACACTGCGAAAAAAACTTAAGAAAACGCCTAATATTGGAAATGTTTTACATTTTAAATGAAAGAAATTCAATCAATTTAAAAACTGATGTTGAAAAACTTAGCGTCATTTATTTACAACTTATTAACGATCACTTTTAAATATCAATATTCTTAAATATTTCTTTTCACAATACAACCTTAGAATCCTTTCATATATCAACTTTGGCCTTTTATATCTCTTCCTTATGAAGTCACCTTTAAATTGACAGAATTTATAACCTCACTTTTGAACACGTGATGAAAATAATCATGTGTTCAAGTATATATTTTATTAACTTATTTATTAATTAAATGTTTCAAAAAAAATTTTATATTAAATTAAAAATATTATAAAATGTTATTATTTAAATATTTCTTTAAAATCTTTTAACTATTTATATGATGAAAACAAGGTAATAAGATAAAAACAAAATACTTTAATGTTATTAACCTTAAATTATCATAAATGATAGATGATTCTTAATTTCTTTACAGACTACATCATTTTTTATACAAAAACATTTAAAAACTTTATTTACTAACTAATATATTTATGAAATTGTCGTCATGTCAAAACAGTTATTGAAATTCTTTCTACGAAAGATAACATGTCAGAAAAATCTTCAAGAAACAAATTTATAATTAATTTTCGCATGGTATGTTAATTGAATTTATATTCATTATTTATACTAACGTCGTATACATACAATTAGTTAAAATAATATTATATGATCCATTTTTACAGATTTATATCTGATGAGGACACGAAATCGTGTCGAAACGCGTCATGTGAAATTTTATATATATTGATAATTATTAAAAAGCCAATAGGCCAAAAAAATTTCACCATCTTTTATTTAAAATTTTGGCTTCTCAAACTTATTAACTAAATAACTATAATTTCTGAATCCAAACAACAAAATTTTCCCATCTTATTTTACAATCAATATGCGCTAAGTAATTAGAAAAAAAAATATATAACGCACATTAATTTCTTAAAAGTTTACAAAACACATAACATCAACTGACGTTTTTAATTAAATTCATATATCTAATACAACGAGATGAAATTTGCATAAATTTTTATGTCTTTTTGCAAACAAACGATATGTTCATATAACGAGGGAACCTAATTATGAAAATACAATGTGTACACACTCTCTATGAATGGTGGTGGAATGTTGAAGTAGTATAAGCAGCGCAGTAGAAGCACCAGCAGCATCAGACAGGAATGCGGTTGTGAAAGCGAGGAAAATTATTGGCTTGGTATAATCAGATAATCGGTTCAGCATGTCCCCAAAGATCCCCACATTATTCAGGACTTTGGGAACCCTCACCTAAAATCCACGATGTTGTTTTGCAATGAGTTTTGACACTGTATACACGATGTTCGTTCGGCGCAAAGCAAACTACAAATTTCACGCGCTTCTGAAAGCATCGACATTCAGTTTCTCCCTCGACCCTATCGTGTAACTTCCGCTTTATATGACCCAACCAGTCTATATATATATAGATATACTTCCCTTCATGAACTATAGAGATTAATAATGGAGCACGTGCCAGCAATAGATCCTTTCTTATCGCTTTGATTTGAACAATTTGCCATTTCTTGATATCCCAAAACCTTTTTATTTATTCCCTTGAAATGATCTTATTCACAGATTTCGAACAATCTTTAATTTAATTCAATCCAATTTGTTAAGAATCAATTTTCTTTTAAAAAATGATTTTAACTCTAATGGAGTCAGTAAGAATATAACAGAATTTACCATCAGTTGGTAATGTAGATTCCTGGTATAAATGATGCCATGTCGATAAGCATAAGTTCTAGTTTACCGACTGATGGTTATCTGCTAAGGAAATTGTTAGGTAATTGATTTTGAAACTATTTTTCCTTTCAACTAATTTATTATCCTAAAATAAAAATTGTCTCATAATTTCTGGTTATTTAGTTATGGATTAATATAGTTTTTCAATACAACTTTCCATTTCTAATTAAATTAATATTAATTTAACAGAAATTACCAACAGTCGGTAATGTAGGTTTCTAACAAAAACGATGTTATGACGATAAGTGCGGTTGCTAGTTTATCGACTGATGGTAATCTGTCAACTAAGTTGTTCGATAATTATTTTTGAACCTATTTTTGTTAATATCGCTAGATAAAACCTGTCTTCTAATTTCTGGTCATACAGTAATAAATATAGTTTTTTAACACAACTTTCCAACGATGATAGGAAAAATATTTAATGGTAAGAAGAAAATTTTATGGGATAAAATTTGTATGTCCATACGATGCACAAATTTTCATAGCGAATCACCGCATGCAAATAGAATCTAGAATAGTGTGAGTTGAATAATGCATCGTATTTTATGTAATATGGATGCTATTACGCCCATGTAAAATGCATTCTCAGACAGCTGCTTTGGGTTTCAGCTTCCATTTGAGGCTCAACCAGCGACATCTAGACGACATAGGAAACCGATGCTTCTGTTCACAATGTTAGAGAGAAATTTCCCTATATATATATATAATTCTCTTCAGAATATTGACAATAGTATTTTAGAAATAGTGATTTATCATTATCTAAAGTAAAATATTAAAAAATTTTAATCATTAAATAAATTATATTCATCTATTGAAAATGAAATATTATTTATGACAAAAATCATTTAGATATTTTATCGGATTTTATTAAAATCAAGAAATTGCATTACACAGTCCAATCATCGTTAATATATTTCCATAATGGAGATTCAACTCAGGAATTTAATTATAATGAACGATAATTCTGCAGTTTGTAATTAAGACATTTTTAGATGAGAAGAAAATTCCTGATTTTTCTTTTCTATAGTATCCACAAGTTATGAAATTATTATTATTATTATTATTGTTAAAGTTCCAAAACAGATTAAATTTCTGTGAAAGAATATATCAAAAATTGATTTATGAAAAAAAAAGAAAGTTCAGTTTCAGATTTGATCCAAGTAATAAAAATCTCAACTAAAAGTTTTACCGGAAGTAAATGCATTCAATCCTCTTAAGACCGTAGCCTTATTGCGAACACTTACACCGACAGAAAGTTGTCTAGAGTCTAGAAGCGAACGCAGACACTCATCTATCTATGTGTCAAGGATAGTACAAGGAGCCTGGTGCTGTACGGCAGTTTCTATCGTGGTTCGTGTAAACACAACCAAACCCTCTCCTTCCTCAGTAAAGATTTGTAATACTCTCTTAGTCCTTTCCAGCTAAGAACACCCCTTCCCCCCCCCTTTCACTTCTACCATACCTAAAACCCACCACCTCTTACAATCCTATAACCCACCAACAGGAAGAAACTTGCTTAATTTATTCGCAAAACTTGGCCGCATTTATTACCGTTCCTTCTTGCAAAGTCTACCGTGTCCGCGATACACAACGCGTCTAATATGCTTTGGCTCAACTTTCAACCTGTTGGTTATGCCAATGGCATTCGATGAATTTACTTTTAATTAAATGCAAAATTTCTCTATGATTAACAATCTATGATTTATATATTATTGTAAATAATGGAAATAATATTTCCAATGAATAGGAGAATTATTGGATCCATTTAATTTTGCTAAATAAAATAACTGGTTGATCATATTATAAGTGGAGTCATATTAAACGGATTCTACTGTATGCAAGATCTTTCTTCATCTTGTATAGGAAATAACACTGAGAGACAATCATCTGCATTATTTTGTTCTCCTTTAACATATTGTATATCGTATTTAAATTCTCCTAAACGTAATCTCCATCTTAATAATCTTGAACAAGGATTTTTTACGTTATTTAACCAAACTAATGCTTTGTGATCTGTCTGAATAGTAAATTTTCTACCTAATAAATATTGTCTTAAGGCCATCCGGGAAAAATCCCTAACCTAAAAGTGTTTTCCCTTGCGAGATATTACTCGTAAATAACTTGAAATATGTTGTTCGGATTAATTAGATGAGGGCTCGCTGATTAAGAATCATCTCCATTTTTACAAGTAATTTTGTGGTTATAAAAGTTGGATTTTTGACAGAAGTGGGGACAGACATTGAATCTATGTGGCGCCAATTCTAGCTAGTGGCCGCTGCTGAACTAACTTACCCCAAATTACAATATTATTGCAAAAATGGAGAAGAGCCCCACTCAGTGATCCTTCCTCTATTATTCCTCCAAATGCCAACTCGAAATACTTTATCCTTTAAAGATGAGAAGAAATTTACGAAACCCCTTTTTGCCTATGTTTAAACCTTTTTTTTCAATAATTATTTATCCAGATTATGCAAAATTCCGAGAAGACCTTCCTCTATTATTTCCAAAAAATTACAATCTAAAATATTCTATCTTTTTTAAATGAGAAGAAATCTACAAAACCATTATTTTCTCCCGGATGCGATGCCCTTAACATATTTTAGTTGCCCACACAATTGTCAATAACTCTTTTTTTGCTGTATTATAATTTTTTTCTGGTTTATCTGTACCTCTTTTGAAATATAACAACGATGTTCATCTTAAGATAAAGCACAGCTCCTATTCTTACATTGCTAGCGTCAGTTATTAATACAAATCTTTTATTAAAATCTGGATATTTTAATATTGATGATTTACATAGTATGTCTTTTAATAATTCGAAACTTCTGCTACACTCATTCGTCCAATCAAAAATAGTTTCTTTTGCAGTTAATGGTTTGTTATATGCGTAAAGTTCTTAATTAATTTTCGGTAATATCCAACTAGACCTAAAAATGATTGTATTTCTGTTCTTTAAAATTCTGTACTGCTTCTATTTTTAAAGAATTTAGTTTGAGTTCTTCTTTTGTGATTACGTGTCACAAAAATTCTAATTCTGAGCGAAGGTATTCACATTTATTTGGTTGTAATTTTAATCCTAAAACTTTTACTCTTTCCATAATATTAATTAAATTTTTATTCTGTTCTTCTAAAGTAGATCATGACTACATTCCGAACTAAATATTGTAGCTCACTTAATTCTGCTTAAAATTGAAGCGGGGGTCTGTATTTATTTGATACAAATAAATATTTATTCCATAATGATCAAGTAACCGATTATTTGAATCGAATAAATTTTTTTTCAGTGTATAAAATTGGAATAAACTGACAATAATTTCCAAAGAATTAAATTTAAAAATATTCAAAACGAAATGCCATATTATTGCCAATTGCTGAAATTTTGCACCGGAATAATATCTAAACATAACCTCAATTATGGATTTACTCTGTTGATAAATTGTGGTGGACCAGTTAATTATAACAATTCTTGAAAAGAGTAAATCCATAATTGAGGTTATGTTTTGATATTAATTCGGTGCAAAATTTCAGCAATTGGCAATACTGTGACTATACTATGTACACAGGCCAACACCACACTATTCTACGCGATCGCGGATCGCTCCATATTTTTTTCCTCGAATAACGATACGAAAACAAAACAAAGTGACAGCTTCGGCAGCCATGTTTATTTTGACTATTATACATATATAGGTATAGTGGATACTGTCAGCAGTGGCGCTGTATACTAACATGTTAAATTTTTAACCGATCGGTAACATAGAAAACTATAAACAATTTAATTTCCAAATTTGACAAAAATAAGTTTGGCATCGAGATTAGATCGAAAGTAATCAAATAACACAAAAATCTTGAAAATATAACTTATAGTAAGATGTTGTCACGTCAAAAATGATATATTAATTATCTTGTATTATCGAATGTTGGAAGTTGTGAATTTATCATTAGAATACAGTAAAACATAATTGCAGATCAGTTTCGTTAATTTTCGTTAATTTTCGTTAATTTTCGTTAATTTTGCTTTAGAAACTTAATAAAAGAAACCAAATGTATGATTACTGCGATTTAAACAAATTAACAGTTAACACAGAAAATACTGTAATAGTTATTTTTTCGAAATCGCAGGCAACTTAAAAGCAGAAAAAATTAGACAATCCAAAACTTACTTCACTAATATTTGCTTTTTATGAAAATCATTTTTTTAAATAATGGATTAAAATCATCCTAAATAGTTTCTGACAATATTGTTTGTTCCAGCTTAATGCAAATAAATTTTTTTTTAAATATATTAAAGAGCCCGAAATTTGTAAATATAGCATAAAATATCCAAAATTCTGATGCAGTTCGTTCCTTCATTTTCAATAGTAAAGGTGCTTGTTTGTTCCCTTTCAAGGGATTATAAAACGAAATATCAACGGATTCTTTTTCAATACGGATATGAAACTTTAGAAAGCATATAAAACAATTGTATCGAATTAAAGTGAAAAAAATCTCTCAAAAGAAAAACCAAAGGTCAATTTTGTAGTGGAACTTTTATATAGAAAGAAAGTGAGAGAGATGAAATTTTTTGTCATTAAAATTATAAAAAAAAAAAATTGCACAGCAAATTAATGTTAGATTCTTAAAAAAAGATCCTTTCTAAAATATTTTTATTATATTTTCACTGTATTTTGTGATAAGATAATGACTATAAATTTCGTTTTATAATACCTTGAAAAAGAACAATAATGTTCAAAACTAATTGAGAATAATAAATATACTTCATAAGACCACAGAACAGTTCTAGGTATTTTCATTTTATAATTACTACTTTACTAATGTTTCAAATGCTTTTTACAAATTAGCTTTTTATCCAAGATTACATTAAAAGTTTTTGTTTATGACGTCTAACTGCATTAGCCTTAAATTCTAGAATTTTTTTTTCATCTTATTAAAATGTAATAGTTAACAAAGAATCTAAATAGAATTAGACTAAAATTTTTAGAATCAGCATGCCAATGGATATATATATATATATATTAATTTAGACAAGGATATATATATATAAATTTTAAAAAATTTTAATTTATCAAATATTAGATTTCGGTTTCTTTTCTCTTTAAAATTTGACAATGATTCATATGTTAATTTTGATAAATTTCTTCTTTTTTCATTTTGTGCCAAATAAAATGATCGTTAAACGTTTGCCGATAAGAAGTGTGAATAGAAAACATTTCTCTGGGATTGGAGAAAGAGAGGTTTGGGCAATTCTGAAAACCTTTAGAGGGAAGGTTTTCATCTTCCATCTATCACTTTTATATTCGTGCTCTCTTTCACGTTCTTCAACCGACTACTACTACTACTACCACTACTTTTTCTTCCTCTTACTGGGATTTCTTTTTTATTACAGCAGTGCAAGATGGGAGTCGATGCTAGACGATCGATCACTGTCAATGTCTGTCAGCAGGACACAATTTTGTCGATATCGCGAAATTCATCCAATGGAACATTCCCTGATCCCATGGAATGATTACCAGATCTCCATTATTCGCTATTTAAGATCCCTCCCTTTCACCCACTTCCTCAATCTACTTTCAATATAATTACTATGTCTAACTTTAATAGTCACTCAAGTCGTTAACTTTCGACAAAATTTCATCGCTGAAATGTATTATCAGTATTTCTATCGGTTTTATCATATTATCGCTAATTTTACTTGATAGTGTAATAAAAATGTGAAATATTTCAAGTCTTGCAATTCAATTTAATATTTAATTTCTTTCATTTTTGTTACAGGTGAGTTCCAGTTTTGAATATTTCAAGAAATGTGACGGTAAGGTTTTTTACTTTTATTAAATATATTTTTGTATTGATTCATCCAATCGAGGTTAAATCTGTTTTCTCGGATTATGTTATCTATAACATTTTTCACATGGTACCTTATCTAGGTAAACATTTAGCTTTACAGAAAATTTTATACATATTTTCTGAAAAATATCTCATAGCCTCCCATCATAATTAATATTTTAACAATACCTTTCATAGTTGTTGTTACACTTGTATCAGTTCGGTTTGGATTTTTGATTTGTATAAAGATATTCTTTTTCATGGTTACGTTTTAACCCACCCTCGATGATAACTTATATTTTAATTAACTATTTTATTTACTAATAAATATTTGAGAACTTATTTATTTACTTATTTATTTTTGAAATATTAAAAATGCAGTAGTAATATTTTAGCTTAATGAACAATTCAATTAACAGCTGTAATCCTCTTTGTTCATGAACCGTGCAATTGTATATGAGATCATTAGTAGAAAATTTAATTACAAGCCATAAATACAAATGCATTTAATTTACGTAACAATATTGTTTTAATTTGAAAATAATTAGTACGTTTAGAAAAATATATTTATTTTTGTAATTACAAAAATTGACAGCTTGAAATTTCAAAATTAAAGTATAATTTCATATTACCATAGTAGAGCCAAAAATTCATAAAGAAGCTGTTGAACAAAGTTTTGAATATCCTTCAGTTCTTTTGAATTTTGAAACTATGATTTTGGATACTAGTAGTAAAATCAAAATTGGCCGTTACGTCTGTAAAAAATTTTATAATAAGGTGTTTTTCCTAACGCACAAAGTCACACACATGAGGTCAACGTACACGAAACATTGAACAATTAACTTGTTAGCTGAGCATATTGCGAACAATCCGTGTATTGTTCCATCAGTAGTCGCTAGAGTTTATAGAAGTTTTGTTGTTATAGCAATTTACAACTTCAAAACTCAACGAAGTTAACAAATTCGTATTGTCGACAAAACAAAATTTGTACTGACAACAACCATATTTGTAATATCAACAATTAGAATTGTATTAACAAATCTACACAGTAAAATAAGTCTTAAGGATATGTGGGCAAAGGACGTTTTTTTGTGCTTTTGAAACTTTCTCTGAAATAAAAAATGATTTCGGGTTAAAACTTTGGAAAAATGATTTAGTTTAGTACAAGAAATCTCGCTATTCTTCTCATTTACTATAACTTGACGCGCAAATAATAAAAATAAATCAATAAATAGTAAAATTTGTATTTCCCGCCATGTTTGTTTTTATTTTCGTTTAAAAATGTCACTTTTTAAACATCATTTTTTAATAATTTAACTCAAAATTATGTATTTTTCGGAGAACAGCGAGATTCCTTGTACCCTAATCTATCATCCCTCAAAATTTTAGACAAAAATCTTTTCTCATTTCAGAGTGAAATGTATAC